AAACCTCTACATGAGAATAAGACCTCATAGATTTATCTCACTCAATGTTGTCACTTATTGAACTCAACTGAGATCATCCTGAAAATAAAAAACAAAGAATATTCGAAAAAAAAGAGTTGTTTCGTGGAAAAAACTGTGAAATTTGCATTCCGATTTCTCGGAAAATCTGTTTTTACGAAGTTTTCCGATTGATTTAAGCATTAATACAAATCATTCTTTATATAGTTAATTTGACTCCTCATGCTTATCCTCATGAGTTTACCAAACTAACAAAGAGTGTGTGATCTATTTTTTTCGTTCTTCTCAAGAGAGTTTCATAGAGGATAAAGATAATCTGCCGGCTTAAAAATCATAATAGTTGTCATCCTATACGTTAAATTATCGATGCTATAATCGATTTGAAAATCTTGAGCCTCATGAGGATTAACGAGGATTTAGAGATGAAAGAAACAAACAGCATCGAGAATTTCAAAAGCATGGGAAATTTTTTTCATAATAGCATTTATAAAGCTACTGTAATGCTTTAATTTCTATAGCATCAATTTTTGTTATAAATAAAAAGTACTGCTGTTGCATTAAAACTACTCGTCCGTCAGCTCATCGCCTGGAATACCGTAATCCATAGAATATTTCTAAGCAAATGAATATAAAATTATTCAAATAGTGTGTAATTCTACCAAACAAAAAAAAAATTGGTAGCAGCGATAAAATGTTACGAGTTCTACGTAGACAAGTAATGTTCTCCTATAATTCCTCAATAATCCTCAATAAACTCGTCCCTCAATTCGATTTTTTTACGGGAAAAAGAAAACGTTTTCAAATGATGTATTGATGCGTTCATTCTTTCTAGATCACAGCAAAATATCGAATTCTGTTTACCTCTATTGAAAAAATCGATTTTTTCAGAAAAATTGAAAACAAATATTATCGTTTTTTTTTATTAAAAAGTTTAATTTTTCACTTTACTATATTACTATACTATATATTATTGTAGTTTACAGTAATATTAATATTTATTATAAATTCAAAGGATTAAGCTTATTCATGAGGTGCAGTGGCTCAGTGGTTGAGGTGCGACGGTGACACGCAGGCCCAGATCAGTTGCGGCCACATCCAGGCCTACCAAGCTCATCAACCCTTCGGGGTCGGAAATCGATACCAGAGAAATATGGATAGGACAACTAGCACAGACATGGTGAAGAGTGCTGAACTCAAGTTACTGTATAGACCGCATTCGTATTCAATTACCTCTATGAATATCACAGTGTACACGAATTCGTAGAAGCATTCCGCCGCAGGGGATTATTGATCGACTCCAAAGCATAAGCGTCATTTTGGAAATCGACGATCATTTTAATGACTTAAGGAGTTTATTTTAATGATGTTTTTTTTTTAATGCGAGTGTTATTGTAAAAATGAAATATGCGTTCATATTTGTATTGATGTTTTAAAAATATGAGAAAAATCAATAACATGATAACATTTAATTTAAACAAAAATTATTAATTATATAAAAATTTTAATTGCTCTGTTTAAAAAAGTATGTAAAAAAAATTGTAAAATTATAGAAAAAAATTTCTAAGACTTGTAAAAATCAAAGTGTTCTCTAGAGATTTTTCGTATGTGTACGGAAGAAAAATAGATGAGTTAAATTTACATTAATAAATTTTTTGAAATTTTTTGATCTACACTTTATAAATTTTGTTTATTTTCTTTGAAAAAATCTAAATTGTGTTGTTTTTTTCAGAAATTTTCAATGACTACTGATAGTAGAAAAAACATTTCAATGTATAAGAGACGTGCACTATATAATCGACACCAAACAACAACGATGTTCATTTAACTCACGAGGTTGAGGGCGTTATCAAAATGAAAACGAGGTTATTATTATCGACCTCAAACAGCAACAATGTTTATTTAACTTAGGAGGTTGAAGCGAAGGTTAAAAAAGATCAAATTAAACCTCAACTTTGTTACTGACCTCACACTTCAGGTGGTTACAATTTTTAGGATTATCCTTGAGCCACTTTTATACTCTACAACATCAATAGTACTCATTTATAAGCTTTAACCTCCCTGTTTGACATGAAGATAACAAGCACTACTTTATTGAAGCAAAAAATTGATGTATGTGAAGCATTATGAGTCACATCATGACATTTCTTGAGGCTAAAAATCAATAGAAGTGATTCTGTGGATATTTTGAAAATAACTAAAATAGAAAAACAAATTTAAATTCATTATTTTAGCATCTATGTAAGCTATTTACAAGTTGATTGATACGGAAACATGATACGAATGAGTTATGATAAGTGTACACGAGTTACAAGCTACTCTTGCGAGTGATGCATAGAAGTGTAGACGTGCCACTGGAGCCTCTCAATCTCCAGATGACCAACTTCAACGATCAAGTGATCTACGATCGTTGAATCGACGATAAATATCGATAATTTGGAAAAGAAAAATACAACCACTGCATGGTCCTACAGTATATTGTTCGTTCTGAGCTTTTCCATAGATGATAACAATCACAACAGCCTAGGAATGAGGAAAATCCTTTGAATATTATTGAGTCACGACAAAATATTATTATGATTACGAATTTTCTATTTGAAAAAGTCTCTTGGTTAGCATTATACAATCGTAAACAATTATAATAGTTCAGTTGAAGTTAGAAAATATTTCATTATGTGAGTTAGTGAGTTCAAGTCACTCGTGAGTATTCCTCAAGTAATTAATCGACGCTATAAAGATTGAACTCATTACAATAACAAGACAACATTGTCTATTTTTTTTTTTCTAAAGACAAAACTCATACATTGAGTATCTTTCGGAGAGTTCAATACAGTTCATAGAATGAAAAATCAAATCAAAAGCTATCGATTAATCGATTTCGTGTTTCAATCGATCAAGAACAATTTGAGTGTTGTTGAATGCCACTTTTAAATCAACACTCAACCAAGACTCTATTGATTTTTCGCACAAACATTTGCTTTATTTCTAGAAATATTACGGTATTTGTGAGTTACAATAGTACAAAAATCGTCATTTATTGAGTTTCATGTTAGTTTTCAGCCCTCACTGTAAAGTATTTGATTTTCTGACGCACATACGACAACAAAACAACGGAGGAAACTTTTGAGTTATTGTTAATGTAGCACAGTAAATATAAACATTGACGAAAAGTGAACAATGACGAGGAACAGACAAGAGAAAGTAAAGATAATTTGATCAAAAAACAAATCAATAGTAATGTAGAGTGAGTGATGAGAGTGAAATCGAGCAGGATTGGTTCATCTGAAGAGAGCTGCTCCATGACAGCGTCCATAGCGAACTGTCAATAGACGGCTCTCTTCAGATACGAGTTAACCGTACTGCTGTAAGGACGATATTGCAATGTAGTTTCTTAAGCGATCAATGAATGCGGAAAATTTGTATGACAGGAAAATGGAGATGCAGCGTTGAATGGAGGGAAATTCCACCTCACTCACAGTATCTTGGTTTCAAACTGATAGAAAAAGTTAAGATTATAAAGACAAACTGTAGATATGTATAATTTGAAACAAAAAAACATTGTGGAATTGAGGTATTTCAACTTTTTCCTCAACAAAAATTGTATGAAATCTAGAATAACTATGTGTTTTATCAAAGAGGAAAACTAAAAATACAATTGTGAAGAGTCGAAGATACTTTTTTTAGATTTATGAGATTAATGTTAATATGAAGAAAATAAGGATATTTCGATACGAGTTCCAGTCGTAGATGATTATTTACAAAAGGATTGATGAGATCTTTAAGGGAGAACGATCGAACGACGTCGACAGGTTAGATGGAACCTGACTTGATCCGCTAAAGCTTGAAGTGTTATCGAGCGAATGATGATTGCACGTCTTCGATCAAGTTCATCGAATTGACGCTCGTTTGTGTCCTTTTATGACGTCCGCCTATCGTGGATACTCAGCAATTTTCTAATTTGTCAACTCATTCGACGTTTACACCCACCACCGGCTTACCACACGATGCTCCACCCATTTCATCATATCGCTCCACCCATTCAATAGCTCTAGCCAATACCAAATCTCGAAATCTCACCACCACTTACAGATTACGGTAATATTCAATTACTATTGTTTACAATTCTGATTTTTATAAATAAACAATTTTCGCATTTATATAGCAGCTTTTAATTTCTCACTTGTATAAATCAATGTTCTTAAGCAGTAACGAAAAATTCTGATGGAAAAATTATTCAAATTGTGAGTATTGATTTTTGTTGATCTACTTATGAAATTTTTAATTCCAGTTCAATTCTGTCATAGATTAAAGTTTAGAATGAAAAACGTTGTACGAATATTGAATTAATCATTAACAAAATAATTACCTTTAAAATGAGGAAAAAAGAGGGAGGATAATTATAAAACATTTTTAAATATTAATAATACAATACATAACCTGTAATTTAGAAAAATTTTTCACAGCTGATCAATTAACTGTAGAAGTAATTTCGTATTTTCCGCTACTCATTAATATTCATTTCAGTAAGATCCAGTTAAGTTTTAATACGAAAAGCTAAAGACAATATCCTCAAAATTACTCTGAGGTACTTCTTACCGTAGTCTATCCTCTTAACATTGTGTAAATATTTTGTTAATTTGAATTTATAAGCTTCTATGAAATAATTTTAGAGCTTCTTTGTAAAACGACGGTCTGAAGAAGTTAAGAAAAATTCTCAGCAGATAGTACTATACTGTACAGATAGTACAGATAGTACTACTTACTGTGTAATTAGTAATAACAATAAATTTTAGTGAAAAATTATCTTATTTGAACGGAGCAAAAATCTCCAGTCTGAAAATCTACGAAAAAAAAAGAACTAATCAATAAGAAAAAAAAATTATTGTTACTAAATCATAAATTATTATTACTAACAGCTTCATCTCATCGAGGTATAGTTGTAATTAGGAAATCTGAGTAAGATAACTAGCCTTGATTTGATGACGAGTGGTCAACTCAAGTCACTCAATAGATGAGGCTCGCTCGCATTCGACCACCTCCACGATATCGAATGCTTAGAGGGGCATGTCGCCACAAGGGAATGGTGATCAACGCCAATACCTCAATACCTTATCTAACTTCTACATGCAGACAGATAGAAACAAAATTCTTAAATTTTATAGTTCTTGTAAAATTAATCAATGAACTTTATTGTAAAATACTACTGGTCTGAGGGCGATTCTAAGAATTGAGTTTGACATTTTTAATGCACTGGATTTTTCCGTTTCAAAAACTCCATTTACTTCTTGTTTCGAAAGGTATGTAGTAATTATTGATTTTATCGATCGATGTTCGTCTAGTAAAAGGTCACTTGTTTCTGCTATTGTTATTGATTGTTGCTTAATCAACACCTAATATTGCTTTAGAATACTAAAAAAGTATTTTCGTTGTTCAAAGAATGCATATTGATCGACGTTTTCTTATCTGTCGCAAATTTCTCGTTAACGTAACTCATTGATATGAATGAATTGAAAATTGTCCCTCATTAGCACCTAAGGGAATCTTCTATGTAAAAAATCGATTCATATGAAATTTTGTATCTATTCATTCTCTTTAGCAAAAATAAATCATAATTTTATTCAATTTCATTAAAGCTGATAAACATGGATACAAATAAAATCAGTAAGTTTTGCGGAGGTAAATATTTGAGTTACTATCGATCACGATAAGTGAGAACTCAATGAGTCGTCCTCTCACATTTTAACCTCTTACTAGTTTATAAAGAATAAAAACAAATATTATGAGAAAGAAATAAGTATGAAAAACAAACATATTCAAAAATCGATAATATTTACTCACTTTTTTTGTTGAAAATTTGCATATTTCCTCAAAAAGTGCCGTGACTCGTAATATTTTTTTGATGTGTAAATTGTATTTTTTTATATAACAGTAAAATTAAAGACCGTGAGAAAATGTTCAAGAGAAAAAAGAACACACACAACAGAACCAATACTATTCAAGCTTACATCTCATTTTTTCAAATAGTATGAAGTTTTATTCTTAAATATTATTAAACACGTTTATAAAATTACTAATTAAAATAGTGAATAAAAAAGAACACTAGTATTTCAGAGATGAAAAAGAAACAAAGATAGATATTTTTATTTGTTTTCTATTAACTATAAATAAGTTATAATGGCTCTGTTCTAACATTCTTAATGATGCTGAGTTAATCACATAACTTGGAACCTCAGAGTTCGCCTACCTCAGTCATTAGTAACCTCAGAATTAACTTGGCATCATTTAGGATATTAAAGATCGATAGAGTGTCCTCGCTGTTTTTTATACACG